CATGCATAGTGTTATCTTTACACTTTTTAGTAAATGTAACAGATGATCTGAGAAAAAATGAGCATACTGTGCACAGTATACCTACTACATGCTACTGAAATTGTAGGAATAATACAGTTCTATGATATCAGTACATAGTTATAAATCATTCATGTTGTCCATTTTTATGAAAAGTCTTGCATCATCATTATTACTGTTAAAATGGATTTAGGAACATATTTGATAGTTACCTGTAGCTTGGAAGTCAATATGAGCCATATTTAAACTATTGGGACCAAATATCCTAAAAGATTTCCCCATTTTTGACTCAAATTATCAAAATGAAACCATACTTAATGTAGCTAGAAAAGACAAACTTCAATTCGCTAGCTTTAAGTCATGTTATCATTCTCTTCCTCTGCTAATACTGCACTTGTACTAACTTTGCCACCAAAAACTGGATGAAATAATGAGGATGTTGTGAGTGTGAATTGTTCACAACAAGATAAATAATATGCATTTAGAAAATAGATCATTTTCATTCCACTTTATAAGGCTTCCTGCTGGTTTTTACATGATTAGAAAGTCTTAATTTTAAAATATGACTAAAAAGGTTATGAATAAATAACATAAAAAATTTATTATAGTTAATAAAATATATATATCTTGTATCTTCTATTTTGTTGCATACCCAAACATGCTGCGTTGGAAGTGGTTGGCATGACTGCACAAGTTGTGACTTAACAAAATTTAGGAAATATTGTGTAAGATTTACCCACTAACTTTACCTTTGCATCTTCTTGGGTAATGTTACTGTCTGTTTCACCAGAGATACTCAATAGAAGAAAATGAAAAGCATGCCAGCCAACCCCTAGAGAACTGTCACAGAATCCACAGAATCTCAACATTTCTGTGCTGAACTACAATTCTCATTTCAGAATTCTGGCAGTGCTAACCTGGTACCCTATGGGGTTAGATCTCTGCCACAATTCTGCGTGCGAAAGATCATATTTTGAGCGCACAAAAGTGCATTTTGCACATCTGAGTTTTGGTGGAGAAAATGTTCGTCTCGCAAAGAAAAAAGTATTTTGAGCGCACTAAAATCAATTTTGCATTTAAAATACCTTTATGGATGTGTGCAGACCTTCTCTTTTGCGCGTGCAACATTTCACTAGCTTGCTCCCTTGATGCCCGCCCTCAGTGCTCTCTAAATGCCGACAGCTGGCTTGCTCAACACAACCCAGCGTTACAATATGCCATAATTCCAGCCAATCAGAGACGAGGCTGCTAAATTCTGATTGGCTGCCTTGACAACCAATCACAACATTCCTTGCTTTAGTGATGACAGCGGGAATACAGTGCATGCATAATTATTATGCAAGTTGATATTCTGATTACATATTTTTTCCAAGCACATTTTACCAATTCCAAACAACATCAATCTTAATAACTACTATTAATCTCGTATTTAATCACTTATAACCGATATATAATTGTTCATGAAGGCTGGAAGTGAAAAACTCCTTATATTCAGGTGTGCATAATTATTATGCAGGTTATTTTCTACAGATAAAATCTCGAGATGGACTAAAAATGAAATCTCAAAACTTACTACCAGATTCTGGAAGATAAATTCTTCAAACAGTGGTACTCTTTGTATGTTTAATAACGCTACACTGCTAATATTTGTCATAAACATCCTTTATTGCTATAAAAATATCATGAGCTGCATACAAAACACATACAGAAAATATATAGTCACAATCATATGTCTATTTGCTTTCATATTTCATGTGTCTGACTCATAACACTCGTGCACGTGGAAGAAAACGGACGGTGCTCTACAGATCACATGATTCAGTGGACAATTAATAGAAATGTTATTCTGTATAAAGAACATGTGAGAATAAATCTGTTCTCAAATACCAATGATAACTAGAACAGCATCCACTCTCTTCTCTTATCCGGGATACTCTTCTTCTGTGTTTGTTTACACTGGTTTTCGAAACAGCGCCACCACTCTTGCCTTTTTGTGCAACAGCAGCTGCTCTGGTCACGTGATCCTAGCTCAAATCTTATTGGACGGCCCGTGTCTTCGCTTTGCGAAACTGAAAAGATTCGTCGGACTGGTTAGAAAAAAAAAAATTAGCATTTTCGGTGTGCGAATGTTTGCGGTCTATGTGGAAACATCCATAGAAATCTATTGTTTTATTCCAGCGCGTCATCGTGTCCGATATTCATTACGCTTTTTCGCGCTCAGTGTGGAAAAGCCTTAATTCCTAATTCTTTTGCGGTTAGCATGCATCTTTTCTTCTCCGCATGATTTTGACTGACCCTGCTGACCCACTGAGCATTTTGCTGTCCAATGGTTATGCATTAACTTTGCAATTTCTAGTATTGTATTAGTTTTGAATATTTCTCATGGGCATTTAATAATTTTCGACTTTCATTCTGAGTTAAATCTCTTTTTTAGCTCACTTTATCTATAAAAGAAAATCTGCTTAATAATTATGCACTAGTGTTAATTTTGTATTTTCATTTTAGTCTTAGTCTTAGTCCCGGGCTAAAATGTCCTTGTCAGTTCTTATCATATTTCGTCGACCTTATCCTATTTAGTTTTAGCCAAGTTTTAGTCGACTAAAAGTCTCAACATTTTAGTCTAGTTTTAGTCCAAGAAAATCTAAAGTATTTTAGTCTAGTTTTAGTCCAAGAAAATCTAAAGTATTTTAGTCTAGTTTTAGTCCAAGAAAATCTAAAGTATTTTAGTCTAGTTTTAGTCAATGAAAACTTGACATTTTAGCAATAAGATTATTATTAATTAACCATACAGCAGTATTAATTTTGGCAGCCATTTTTAATTTAGTCTTAGACTTACTCAAATGTACATTTTAGTTATATTTAGACAAACTTGACCTGTTTTTGTTTATTCAATGAAATGTATGAGAATTTTAGTCAGGTTTTTTATTCAATGAAATATTAGTCACATTTTCGTCATTCTGTATAATGGTTAAATGATAAAAAAAAAAAAAACTCAAAATTATAATTGATTGTTGTCATTTGAGAAATTTACTTTTGCATTACAGGTATTGCACTTTCTCCAGTAAGCACAAATCAATAGAATGTGGACATATACATGGTGTATTTGACCTCATCTAGTGTACTGATTTATTATATTTTTATATAATTTATATATAATATTTATATGTATATTTATATAATAATATAATATATATAATTATAAATATAATATATATATATATATATTTAATAATATAAATTATTTTTTTTAGCTTTTTATTATATAAATCAACACCAAAGACTTATGCAATCTCTCTGTCTACATTACGAAAACAGCTAAAACAAACGAAAAATATTATAACAGTGAAATTTCTAGTAATTCTACTAATTCCATTTGCAATAATTGCAATAGTCTATTTCTCTATTAAAACAACAGCGATTGAGTAAGTGTATTTATTCAGTGATCACAATCGCAAACAATATAGTCGAGCTCTCATGACAGAACACTGATCGGCTGAATGATGCTTTCATTTAGATCGCTAAACTCCAGTTTGTTTTTCAGATCATCTGCGGCAGCGCTTCCGCAATGAGGAGCAAGCGTGTGCGCATGGTTGTCAAATTGCTTAAAATAAGCAAAACACACCGGATAGATAATGTATGAATTTATCGGGGATTAGAACTCTTGACATCTGGCAACCGCACTCATGAAAGCTCGCGTAGTAGAGCAGTCTGCAATAACATTTTGTCTCCTTTTTTGATGAAAATGACGAAAAAGGTTTTTGGTAACGTTTTTATCTTTTTGAATGCATTTTAGTCTCGTCTTATTTCGTCAATGAAATTGCATGTTGATATAGTCTTAGTTATCGTTTATTGACCTTATTGTCATCTCGTCTTCGTCATGGGAAAAAAGCTCGTCAACAAACATTTTTCGTCATAGTCTTTATTTATCAAAATGAACACTATTATGCACACCTGAATATAAGACATTTTTCCCTTCCAGCCTTCATGAATAATTATATATCAATTATAAATTATTAAATACAAGATTAATAGTAGTTATTAAAATCTACTATTCATACTATTTTGATATTCTGATCAAAAATATGATCAGAATATCAACTTGCATAATAATTATGCATGCACTGTATTTTTCCTCTTCTGCTGTCATGGTAATGCAAGGAATGTTGTGATTGGCTGTCAAGGCAGCCAATCAGAATTTAGCAGCTTCGTCTCTGATTGGCTGGAATTATGGCATATTGTAAAGCTGGGTTGTGTTGAGTAAGCGAGCCGTTGGCATTTAGAGAGCACTGAGGGCGGGCATCAGGTGAGCAAGCTAGTGAAACGTTGCGCGCGCAAAAGAGAAGGTCTACACAAATACAAAAACTTATTTTCAATGCAAAATTGATTTCCGTGCGCTCGAAATACTTTCTTCTTTGTGCGACAAACATTTTCTCCACAAAACTCAGTTTGCACGCTCAAAATATGATGTTTCGTGCGCAGAGTTGTGGCAGAGATCTAACCCCATAGTATCCCAGCTACATTAAAGGTACACCTGAGCAAAAAAAAAAATGTAATGGAGTTCAGTTCTGTTTGAACAATATCACAGGCGTCTCATCACGAGCTGAACCATTGCACTTAGGACAGGAATAGCCCGGGGCAAATTAAACACATGATTTGGTGAGTAAATATCAGAGCCCATATAACTGGTTGCCGTATAAGACTAAACATCCTCCTGTTTGCATGAATCAACAGCAGTTCCTGAAAGTTGTACTCAGGAGAACCACACCTTCAGCTCTGCTGCAGACAGCAGCTGTCATTGACGGCTTCACCGCGGAGGCGTGAGAGGGGTGTGACAAATCGCCGCCGCTCATTGGCTGGCGCATTCTAATGGACAGCGCTATCGGCCAATCAGAGGACGCGCAACGCTTTGAACGCAGCAGAAGGGGCGGAGCGAGCGACCCTGCGTCTTCGGACGTGAGGTATATATTGAGTTAATTACATACCCAGCCGCCGTTCTCCTGGATCCAGCCGTGCAGCGGCCCGTTCAGATACTCGGTCATCCAGCCCGCGATGTTATCCACATGCACCGTCATCTCCTTATTCACGCATTCGACGCAAACGGTCCCTCCAAACTCGAAAAAAGCGATGATTCTGCCCCAGTTCACGCCGTCCCTGAACAGCTCGTCTATGACCGCGGTGAAGCGCTGGTGCGCCGTGATGGACGTGAGATGCAGCTGTTTGGACATCTCCGCAAAGTCCGACTGATAAAGCCGCTCCAGTTCGTCCCCAGCCTCCCGTAGCACCGTGTGAAGAGCGCTGCACGGGTCGTGACGGGAGCCGCCGCGGTCCTCCTGCCTCCCCATCATCAGTCCATTCGAGACACTGTCATCGTGTCCGTTCACTTCCCACACGTATCCCTTCTTCCAGAGCTTATGGTGGATGTACTTCACCACTAGACTGCGGTTATCATACACATTCTCCTGTGCCATCTCGATTTGTATATATCTCTAAATAGCCTCAGAATCTGTGCGGTCTTATGAATCCAGGCGCATCATCTTCATCGTCAAATCAATGCAAAACAGCACCTGATTTTATTGACCTTTAGATGACTGCGAATTAGAACTTACTGCATGTTGCCTCACTTGGAACTGCAAGTTGCATGAATCCTCCAGTGCTTCGGTGTGGAAAAACGCCCACTTTCTGTTCCCAGCAGAAAATTCCAGGCATGCAAGAGAGGATTTTAAGCATCTTCCTCCCTATCAGAATAAACAAACCCGCCGCGAGAGAGTCTCCGGTGTTCTGAGTGGGAATCGCGCGCGGTAAGTCATCGTTTATCCGTGTGAAAGAGTCCCGAGCTGCGGGAGACGGAAGAGGTTTCTCGCCGAGTGAGTTTCTTCTCTCGCGGAGCGGCTGGTGCGAGGAAAGACTTTCTCGCTGGCGTGCGCGGTCGAATTCGGTCTTTGCGCGAAAGGTTAACGTTGAACAGTTGTGTCTGTGTGTAAGTTGAGTGTTTAGAGGCGTCTGCTCGGTGCAGTCGCTCCAAATGCAGACAGACCGCCTGCCCCCTTCATGGCCTTTCCTGTGCTGCGTCACTCATTCACACTCATGCGTGTGCTCCTCCTGCAGTCATGGTAATAACGCACACATTTATCCTCCTGAGCAGTGTTGCCAAACCCCTCCCTCAGAAAATCTCTAGAAGCACCCTCAAAAGTCTCCATTTTTCACAAAAAGTCGCCAAATATGAAAACAAAGTCAATTTGGTAAAGGCAAAGGAAAGTAAATATATATGCAGGTGCATCTCAATAAATTAGAATGTCGTGGAAAAGTTCATTTATTTCAGTAATTCAACTCAAATTGTGAAACTCGTGTATTAAATAAATTCAATGCACACAGACTGAAGTAGTTTAAGTCTTTGGTTCTTTTAATTGTGATGATTTTGGCTCACATTTAACAAAAACCCACCAATTCACTATCTCAACAAATGAGAATATGGTGACATGCCAATCAGCTAATCAACTCAAAACACCTGCAAAGGTTTCCTGAGCCTTCAAAATGGCCTCTCAGTTTGGTTCACTAGGCTACACAATAATGGGGAAGACTGCTGATCTGACAGTTGTCCACAAGACAATCATTGACACCCTTCACAAGGAGCCACAAACATTCATTGCCAAAGAAGCTGGCTGTTCACAGAGTGCTGTATCCAAGCATGTTAACAAAGTTGAGTGGAAGGAAAAAGTGTGGAAGAAAAAGATGCACAACCAACCGAGAGAACCGCAGCCTTATGAGGATTGTCAAGCAAAATCGATTCAAGAATTTGAGTGAACTTCACAAGGAATGGACTGAGGCTGGGGTCAAGGCATCAAGAGCCACCACACACAGACGTGTCAAGGAATTTGGCTACAGTTGTCGTATTCCTCTTGTTAAGCCACTCCTGAACCACAGACAACGTCAGAGGCGTCTTACCTGGGCTAAGGAGAAGAAGAACTGGACTGTTGCCCAGTGGTCCAAAGTCCTCTTTTCAGATGAGAGCAAGTTTTGTATTTCATTTGGAAACCAAGGTCCTAGAGTCTGGAGGAAGGGTGGAGAAGCTCATAGCCCAAGTTGCTTGAAGTCCAATGTTAAGTTTCCACAGTCTGTGATGATTTGGGGTGCAATGTCATCTGCTGGTGTTGGTCCATTGTGTTTTTTGAAAACCAAAGTCACTGCACCCGTTTACCAAGAAATTTTGGAGCACTTCATGCTTCCTTCTGCTGACCAGCTTTTTGAAGATGCTGATTTCATTTTTCTCGCGGAGCGGCTGGTGCGAGGAAAGACTTTCTCGCTGGCGTGCGCGGTCGAATTCGGTCTTTGCGCGAAAGGTTAACGTTGAACAGTTGTGTCTGTGTGTAAGTTGAGTGTTTAGAGGCGTCTGCTCGGTGCAGTCGCTCCAAATGCAGACACACCGCCTGCCCCCTTCATGGCCTTTCCTGTGCTGCGTCACTCATTCACACTCATGCGTGTGCTCCTCCTGCAGTCATGGTAATAACGCACACATTTATCCTCCTGAGCGGTGTTGCCAAACCCCTCCCTCAGAAAATCTCTAGAAGCACCCTCAAAAGTCTCCATTTTTCACAAAAAGTCGCCAAATATGAAAACAAAGTCAATTTGGTAAAGGCAAAGGAAAGTAAATATATATGCAGGTGCATCTCAATAAATTAGAATGTCGTGGAAAAGTTCATTTATTTCAGTAATTCAACTCAAAGACCGCCTGCCCCCTTCATGGCCTTTCCTGTGCTGCGTCACTCATTCACACTCATGCGTGTGCTCCTCCTGCAGTCATGGTAATAACGCACACATTTATCCTCCTGAGCGGTGTTGCCAAACCCCTCCCTCAGAAAATCTCTAGAAGCACCCTCAAAAGTCTCCATTTTTCACAAAAAGTCGCCAAATATGAAAACAAAGTCAATTTGGTAAAGGCAAAGGAAAGTAAATATATATGCAGGTGCATCTCATGTTAATTTTTTTTTCTTCCGGCATCTTGATTGATGCTTATAATGAAATTGTGGTGTGCGTCATGGCAGGCGTGGCGTACTGGTGTGCTGACTGCGCAGACTCGTTGGCATGATTGAGAGCAAACGTGAGAGGTCACGGGCCTACGGCAGGGTGTGGCCAAGTAAAAAATAAAAAATCTCTAAAAAATCACTAGTTTTATTTAAATATAGCTAAAATAGCTCCTTGTCACAAAAAAAAAATCGCAGCTACAATGAGACAGTAGCTAAATTTGGCGACAAAATCCTCAAATTGGCAACACTGCTCCTGAGACTATGGAAGGCCGTTTCCGCCACCGAATGAAAAATAAAAAATTTAATTGCGACTTTTTATCTCACAATTCTGACCTTTTTTCTCGCAATTGCATGTTTACATCTCGCAATTCTGACTTTTGAATTGTGCGATATAAACTCACAATTGCGAGTTATAAAGTCAGAATGGCGAGTTATAAAGTCAGAATGGCGAGATATAAAGTTAGAATTGCGGCATATAAACAATTCTGAGAAAAAAAGTAATAATTCTAACATTTTTCTCGCAATTGCGAGTTTGTATCACACAATTCTGAGAGAAAAAGTCAGAATTGTGAGATAAAAAGTCGCAATTACCTTTTTTATTTAGTGATAGAAACGGGCTTCCATTATGAGACAGAGTAATTAAATGTTTTAGCATTTTTTTATTTAATGTTTTTTCATCATCGTCTTTGGTGCATCATTATTTTTAATCATAGTTCTGTTTTTCTTTTTGAATAACAACGTTTATATAAAAATAATGCAATATAAAACATTCATATATATATCCTCGCCTAATCATACACTGAGCATAAGCTTCTACACTTCTATTTCTAGGTCACTAATCTAAGCAAATTTGTGACACTGATCATGTGAACTACATTGTACAGGGGGTCAGATGCTCTTTGGATCATTCTCAAATCATGCTGAAGAACATGATCATCAGAAGTTCATGCGGGTTGAGTGCTACAGCAAAAGGGAACATGGCAAACAATCACTGAAATTTATGGTAAATTTGCACTCATTGTTTCCATATATAATGTGAAAATTTATAAAAATTAAAAGTATAAGATTGTCTCAGTCTGTTGGATGCTTCTGTATATCGTATATATTATCACACTTGCCACACACCCAACAACAGAACAATCCAGGATGTTATTTTTAGAGTACACTTAAAATAGTGGAATTCATGCTTTCATGGACCAATAAAAAATATATTTATGAGGCTATTAAATTGGCTGGCAGGACTGAATCGATTTTAAACAAGCAGAGTGATTAATATATAGTCATATATAAATATCTTAACTAAATCATAATTATTAAATGTAATCATATTAATACAAATTATTATTATTCATATGTGTGTGTATATTTATATGTGTGTGTGTGTGTATATATATATATACACACACACATACTTATATCATATAAAATATCCACCCAACTTTTTGCTCTTTCAGTCGCATAAATTTTGCATTTACATTCCATCTCCGTTATCACGAAACCCAAAACACACAACAAAAACAGCTCCGATCATGGCATTCTCCATTCACCGGTTGTTGACGTATGTAAATGCCACGAATAAAGACGCCACTATCGACCGCTTCAAAGTTCCTGCTGACGGGGCAAATGCAACCAGGAAAACGGCTATGGGGTTAGATCTCTGCCACAATTCTGCACGCGAAAGATCATATTTTGAGCGCACAAAAGTGCATTTTGCATGCAATCTGAGTTTTGTGGAGAAAATGTTTGTCTCACAAAGAAGAAAATATTTAGAGCACACGAAAATCAATTTTGCATTTAAAATAAGTTTTTGGATGTGTGCAGGCCTTCTCTTTTGCGCATGCAACGTTTCACTAGGTTGCTCACCTGATGCCCGCCCTCAGTGCTCTCTAAATGCCAACGACTTGCTTGCTCAACACAACCCAGCCTTACAATATGCCATAATTCCAGCCAATCGGAGACGAGGCTGATCAATTCTGATTGGCTGCCTTGACAACCAATCACAACATTGAAGAACATGATCATCAAGAAATACTTTCTACTTTGTGAGACAAACATTTTCTCCACAAAACTCAGTTCGCGCGAATCTAAGTAGATAGATAGATAGATAGATAAAATATGATCTTTCACGTGCAGAATTGTGGCAGAGATCTAATCCTATACAGAATCAGTTGTCCAAAAGAACCAGTTCAGACGTGCTGTGTCAGTCATTAGGCTTGTTTGAGATGCGCCTCGCCTCGCCTGAAATAGGCGAGAGTAGGTGGCTGCAGTGAGGGGAAGAGTGAAATAAGCGCAGGCAAGACGGACAGTTCTGACCTCTGGAAGTGGAGCAGATACCTACGAGATCAAAGGCGGATATCGCATTATTCTCACTCACAGGCTGTGTTGCTAATAAACATGATATATTTTCAGTTCTGTTGCTTTTATATGTATATATATATATATATATATATATATATATATGAGTGTGTGTGTATGTATACAGGCACACATGTATATATATTTTTATATACAATTGATTTTATATTCTAGTAAATGTAGGATTCTTTCTTTACTGAGCTAAACTGGCCATTTGTTATTTAAAACTCTCATATTCATTCTAACAGGTTGAGTGGTGAGTAACCTTATCTGTAATTCTGGTGGTTTTATTTTGTCTTTTGGTGTAAGGGGGAATATGGGTTAAGAATATATATATACATATTTCTTTCAAATAAAATACATGGGTAATTTAATCTTTACTCATCTGAAGATTCAATAAGGTCCGGATGAGCTGAAATGGAAATCAGCATCTGTTCAGGCAGAGCCATAGCCTATGAATTATTGCAGAACAAAATGACTATAACATACATATGACTCCTGCTGGCAGTCCCGGCTTCAGAGACAGAACATTGTGTCTGCAGCATTGTGTTGCAATGCAGGGCTTTAAAAAGGTTCAGGTTTGAGCCTAACTTGCTTTCTCCCTCTGTCAGTTCTGACCAGGTTATTCAGGGCAAAGTTAGGCTTCTGGAGTTGGCTATTTCAGACTGACACTAGTCAGTAAAGCGTTTCAAAGTAGGAA